ATGGGCAGGATCTGCATAGCATCTTGGTCTACAATAGGGTTGAATCACACTGTTGTACAAACAGAGGCAATACATCAGGCAGTGGATGATATATTTCATGAACTGGCAGTTTTCACATTTTCAGAACATGGGCGTCCAGATGCTTAGAAACACCCCCTAACATTCTCTAACTTTATCTCACTTTCTAATAAACATGGTTTCTGAAGAAAGATTGTAATTTCCACAAACCTCCAGGCTGCCTCCTTGCTAGAAATATTTGTCTATAGTCTTTGGATGCTAAGTCTTCTTCCTTAGGATCAGAAACCCAGCAATTCCAACAAAGCAGGAGCTTTCCTCCCCTTGGGTTGCTATGCTCAGTAGAAACCGCCATTGCAATCCTAATCATGTGCATTATGAAAATCGCAGTTTAGGAAAACAAAGGTGGGATGCATACTTCCACTTAGGGTCCATTGTAACTTCAAATAGTCACTAAGTAAGTCAAGGAATGCCTGTACTATAAATTTACTAGCTATTAGATGTGAAGGCATTGTTAACCCTATGTGCCTGGAAGTGCATACTGCACTTCACATGCTTTTAGGTCTCTTTCTCCTCTCCAGATGCAGCAGCTGGGACGAAATAGAACACTGACCAAAATCCTCAGTAAAATTCAATTTAATTTAAGTTATTTTTATGAGGTACCCAAGATCACAATTACCAATTGATCCAGTTTCTTTGAACCATAGTTAACTTTAACGAGAATCCCCCTAAATGGAAATTCATTTATTCATTTTTTTTGTTCAAAGGCATATCTTTAACTGTTACCCTCAAACCTGAGTAACAACCAGACTATTTTTGGAAAAATAAAAAATCCAAGCTCTCTCCAAACTTACAAGTGTGGCTTCTTCTATCTAAGACTATACTGTTTTGCTTGCCAAGTATAATAAGAATTTTTATTCTAACATATATAATTAAATTAAAAAGCAATGGGAAATTGTAAAGTTCTATGCATCATTACTGCTGTGTAAAATGGAACTTATTCTCATTATTCTCTTATTTTCTCTAAAAGGTTCTGTTCACTGGACACCAAATGTTTTAAATGACTAGGAGATCATATCTGATTTTCTATTCCAAAACACATATAAAGCAAATACCATTCAGATAATTCTCTCCTGGTATGCATGTGTGCATAATGCAAAAATTGGCTTAGAAATACTTATTTCTATCATGCAGGATAGTGGCATGACAAATTGTAGTACAAGTCTTTCAACTTTTGATAAACCAACAGCAACCCAGCTATCCCTGTAGAATAAAAATCACAATTTAACAGTGGATGGAAAAAAGGGACTGTGAAGCCTATTTTAATTGTCAGCTGTATAGTAATTTATTATATGTGGGAGGGAGGGAGGTAGAAAGCCCACCTGAACATGTTATCTGTCAACTTATTCCATTCCTTACATTTGTTGCAGACAGAACCTTGTAAGCAGTTTACAATAGCTTTTGTCCCCCTTGCATCCAAGGAGGACAATTTCATAGGCTCCTGATATCACATGAAACTACAGCCCAACCTGGAATATATTTTCTTTGTCTCTTCTCCAACCTGAAGACTTAGAGCTGCAGTTCCTGTGTAAGCTGGGAATTCTGGGAACTGCAGACTTAACACAGCCAGTGAGGGCGGGTGGGGAGGGGAAACAGATGGTGGAAGCCTGTCCTAGACTGAATGGATTAAATTAACCGTAAATTAACCTGACAAGATAAGAGCAAAGGTGGTTTACCAAGATGCCAATACTATAACTGATACTGTATCACTAATTCCCTGTTAGAGTTGACAATAGCAGAGGGACAAAAATTCTTTATCTGAAGGATTGGAGTAGCTAGAAAATAACTGTAGAAATGAAAGTGGAAAAGAGAACCCTTCTTGGACTGTGATTTATCTTGCAGAAACGGCACAGGTTTAAAATCTAGTTATTCGTTTTGCACAGTAGAAAAATAATAATAACAAAACGGTTATATGCATCATGGGGATCATTTCTTTACCTTGAATAGTTTACCTATCAATTTAGTTTCCGAAACTATGACAAAAGGAACAGACTGGGGTGAAAGAAAATGTTTATATACTATTAGTAATAGTCTTCTAACAAATATCTGTGTTTGCAGTGCCAATGACATAGGCAAAGGAAGTAAAAAGTTAATGATTAAACTGTAATTGCATTGCTATCATTTCTCTCAAATAAGTCAGTGGGGAAAAAAATATTGTAATAGCTGATGCTCCAAATGTGATGCCACCCACTCTAAAGTTCCTAGAAAGCTTTCAGATAGTACCAGCTATATACAAACTCCCGAAAGCCTTGGATGGTATTCCAAAGAAAATAAAAAATAGTTATCAACTTGCATATTTTAACATGGCAAGAAAAAGAAAATATTAAATGATATACAGATAGAATGGCAGTTATAAGCCATTTCGATTCAATGTAAATGAAATAATAACCATTTAGTTCTTGTTCTCTATCAGTTCTTGTTATGCTTCTGACAAGCTAGATAAGCTGCCTCTTAGTTTCTAAAGAAGTAACAAGCTATTTCTTTGCTTGAAATACCACCACAAGTTACTTCTGGAGATTATCATTCAGAAAAGCTATCATTGGATCTTCAGTCTCAGCTAATTAGCTGGCAATGGGTTGCACAGTAATTCTCATTCTTTTAATACCAGATCAGTTGTGACTGGCTCTTGACAAACTCCAGATTTTATTTATTTTATTTATTATATTTTTTTAGCCACACATCTCCCCTGCAAGATTACTCTGATTAATGTCAATTTAAAAAAAAACCTGCTGCCAAAAAGTAATTTAGAATCAAAGAACAATGTAAAGTGATGGCTAAGAAACAAGGGACTACAACAACCATCCTTCTTTACCATACTGAAGGAAAGAGAAAAGCTGAGAACTCACATTGCTGAATAGCTGAATAGTAACAAAGAGAACATTCTTTTTTAAAATGGGAAGATCAAAGCTAAAACCTGAAGCATCCATATGTGGGAATAAAATACAGAAAGGAAAGTGTCAAGACAATAATAAACTGCAGTATGCAAAAACAAAGGGAAAATGTTCTGGAATTGCTCCAGCTGAAACCATCTACTCTTGCCTGGAATGCATCTGTGAATTTCTGCTTTAGGTCATAGAGGGAAAAAGGCTAGAACAATGAAAGGCAGGCTGCAAGCTTTTTGAAGGAAGATAGCCATGTGCAAAGCAATCAGCACAAGTCTTTGACATGACATATAAGTACATGGGTATGTGTTAATTATCCAGAAACCAAATATTCAAAAATTTCTTAGGAATTCTAAATAACTTTTCTCCTAAAAAGTTTACACCACTGAAATAACATTAGAGCTTTAATATATATTGCCTGTCCTGAAGCTTTTACATCTGTTTCTTTTCTTTTATTTCCATTACACATTCAGAAATAATTTTTATGAGGAATAAAAGAAGACTTCTAAAGTTCTCTGTTGCCAAGATGCATAGTTACTAAACAAGGTGCAAAATAAGATACTCTGCCCAGTGCCTTCATCTTGTATGACAAATTACCACAACATCAGTCATTAAGAGGGATATCATATTTGTTATGAAAGTCAGTTTGGTGAATTGGCTAAGGCACAGGCTACAAACTGGGAGACTATGAGTTTTAGTCCTGTTTTAGGCATGAAGTCAACTAGGAGGACTTTAAGCTAGTCATTCTCTCTTGGTCCTAGGAAGGAGGCAATGATCAACCGCTTCTCAAAATGTTGCCAAGAAAACTACAAGGCTTTGTCTGGGCAGTTGCCATGAGTCAGCCTTGACTTGAAGACAAAAAAGTAAAAATAAATGTACTGTATTTGTCACCTATTATAGAAAAGATGGCAGACGGATCTGGTTTTTATACCAAGTTTAGGAAAAATTTGATTGCTTGATGTACTATAAGTTAGAACATGATCATTAATTTTACATTCAGTTCCTAAGCACGTTCAGCTTTATGTATTTTCATCTGAACAGCATACATTCAGTTTGGTTCTACATATGAAACCAAAATGCAGAGCTAGAGAGGGATGAATAAGGAGCTGATGGAAAGGTACAGAGGTTGTAGGATACTATAAACTGGGGGTGTCCAACTTTGACAACTTTAATTTGTCGACTTTTAACTCCCAGAATTCCCCAGCTGGCTGATGAATTCTGGAAGTTGAAGTCCACAGGTCTTAAAGTTGCCAAGGTTGGACACCCCTGTTATAGATTGTACCTGGACTCATGTCTCCAAATGCTTCTCTACATAAAAAAAATATCTGCAATTGGGAAAATAGCATATCAATGAGCACATTTTGTCCTCCATGTGGGCCTCCTTTTTGGTTTGTTTGTTTTTATGCACACAGTATCTAAATAAATGAACAATATTTATCAAACTCTGAAATATTTTAAAGAACTTTTCCTCAGATTGATTTCAGAGAGCTGGGCAAGAGAGCTTCTGTTACAATGAAAACTACATACATATTTGTTACAGTGGCATTTGATTCTCCTCCAAGACACTCAAAATAGAATTTTAGTGTTGTAATATCTTGGTGATGTAGGTCAAGCTGAGAGGTTGCCATTTGTCAGAGGCAATTAGTTCTATGTTTCAGCTTCAGAGATTTTGTCACAGAAGGCATAGGAAAACTGCCTATTTCTTTCCTTAAGCCACCTTATAGGTTCATTTGCTTAGAGCAGCTTTTGACAATTTCCAGCAACAGACATGCAGACCAAGGAATCCTGCAAGTTGCAATTCACACATTTGGAGATCTTCCAGGCTGGAGAAGGTGGCTAAGAGAGATCCAGTTGCCTTGCACTCTTGGAAAATGAGTTTTACTTCCTGTACAAGTACCATTTTGTCCTATGACTAATTCCATTGGCAAAACTACCAAACTTTGGAGTATTTGGAATGATGAGCATGGGCCAAAAGCCAACTATGGTGACCAGAGCTTATTTAGCAAGGTAAAACCAAGCAAAACTTACTACTATTTTTAAATCAATTAAATCAAACTTATAAAATAATTTGATTTATATCAAATTGGGACCCATAATACCATCTAAGCTTCAGTTCAATCTCTGTCATAACTTGTTGAACAGAACTGCACTTTTAAGCCAGTCTTGTATAATATGGCTCTGAGTCCTTTACCTTATCTAAATGAATAGGTTCATAATAAAGTGGAAAACTACAGATTGCCTATCTTCATATTATTTTTAAAAAATACATTTTAGCCTATAACTTACTATTTTTATCAGTGCTCAGGCTTACTGTGGTGAAGAGCAACCCACACCTTGCCATTTCTACAGTACGTCCTTCAACTTCTCATTTCGTCAATATCATTTTTACTGGTCTTCATCTTTTTCAACCTTTAGGATGAGTAGAAAGATATCACTCATGTTTCAGTGATCTATTATAGAAGCACTTTTCCTTCCCCACCCACTTTCATACTATGCATGCCTATTGCTCTGTGTATATCTTTGTATATGTATTTTAAAATGAATTTTTAAGCTAGCATTTTTTTTAAATTTCAGTGATTGCTTTGGTTAATTATTCCTCATTTTGAAATGATTATTTGTTTTTAGAGAAACATATTTGAATATAACTTTTGCCTGTTTCAGTTGATGGAACTCCGTGTGTAAATCCACCTATACATGTGAATGAAGGACTCCTTGCTAGAATTTTTCATTGTATTAAAAATCTTGACAGCTTGCCAATATTTCTTTCCTATATTTATTATGAAAGTATATGCTGAATCTGGACTTCAAAGTCATATCAGTTTGGCCAATGCACTTTGAGTTCTCCTTCAGCCTAGGACGGCTTTCTCCAACAAACCCTCTATTTGAATGGAACTTGCGATACAGTATGTCCATCCTGGCTGAAGATGGAAGTTGATCTCCGTCTGTTAGTAATTCAGACATTAATGAAGAAAATCCTCTTTCATTAAAGTGCTTGATGCAAAGGGGGCGGGGGAAATCAGATGTTTTATAAAAAATAATAATGGTTATGTTCAATCTTGAAAGGCTGAGTTCACATAATATATTTAAACTCAGGTTAACAGGACCTACCTCCACTACTGCAGCCAGAGAAATAATCTATAGTCAGCAAGATGATCTGGTTGCAAGAGCTCTCTAAAGCACAAAGTATTCTACTTTATTTAGCCCTGCCAAATTGCGATCAATGTAACTCTTGCTTTGACTGTTGTTGCTTCTCTACCTCTGACCACTGTTGAAATCTTTAGGGTTATTTTCATTATGATGAACCCCCTTGATCTCCCATTGGAAAAAAAAACCTAAGCTGGTTGAATGAATGCAGTTCCAAAAAGCAAGTCCAACTCCAGAGGATCTGCAGGAGGACTGACAGCTATCCAGGGGTAGGATATTGGGAAACAAGATGCCCCTTCCTTGTGTGAGCCTTCCATTGCATTTGTAAGTGTGTTACAAAGACAACCTCATCCTACACCCTGACTTACCTGTATATAGCGAGTGAATCAATGTAGTTCTAAGAACAAGTAGTGAAGAAGGCTGCCTGACACATCTGCAGTGGTACCACACAAGAGCCAATAAGCAAGAACAAACAGGCCAGGAAAAGGGTAGAGTTTGGCCTCTCAAACAGGAAACCCTAAGAAGGAAGAGGCAAAAGCAGCATGCTAATTAGCTGCACAGTGTGGCTGCAAAAGGCACAGAGAGATTCTCTCATCTCCCCACCACAGCCATCTAGATGACAGCAAGGCTTTGTGGAACAGAACAATAGGTACATTATACAAACCTATAATTACCTCAAGAAGAGTGATAGCTAATGTGCGGCTTTACATGGGCGCTGGAATATTGGATACAGTCCTGCAAGAAGCAAGCAGTGAAGATTGGGGTGTGTGGGGGAGGGCAGGCAAGCTGCCTGGCACAAAACACAAGGATCACTTCTAGTTAGATGGGCAACTATATACCGTAAGTTTGATAAATCAATAAAACATCAAAGATATTTCAGGTTTGTATTACATTTAGGTTGACTCAGCCTTCCATCCTTCCGAAGGTTAGTAAAATGAGGACCCAGATTATTAGGGGTAATATGCTGACACTGTAAACTACTAAGAAAGGTCTGTAAAGCACTGTGAAGTAGTATATAAGTCTAAGTGCTATTGTTATTTACTTGAATTCCTCTCCATAACCACAATCCCTGCTGAAACATAATGATTTAAAAACACAATATCTTCTTTCGTGAATTTCTTGGCCAGTGATGGAAGATCCCTTTTTTAAAAAAAATTGGGAGAAGTTTTCATTGCAGGGGATGAAAATCTCATAAAAATATCCTGATCTTTGTTTGACATTTGCAAAGCAAAAACAAAACTGCAGATAACAAAAGGCAAAGGGACAGAAACACAAATTAAAGGATTTACCGGATCACATCAAATCCCCAAGAACAAATTAGGAAAAATATCTGAACCTTCAATCTCCTTTCACTCATAAGGGACTATCTGCCACCAAACTCAGGGAGGAGAAGAATAATTAAATAAGACTGGAATATCCATGGTTGCCCAAAACAAGACTTTTGGCCCTTAATATATTAATTAATTTGCAGAATAATTCATAATGAGGTCAAGAATATTCTTTCAAGCAGAGTTAGACAGATGGCTGTTCTCTTTGTAGCAAATGCTTTATCATAATTTGCCTTGATCTCTCTCAGTAGCATTCTAATTCAGATCTCATTAGGCTTAATCAGATGGTTAATCTGTCCTGCTCAAGTCATTGATACCAGAGATAGACAACCTGTGGCCTTTTAGATGATGACAATGGAAGTCCCAAGAACATCTAGAATGCAAAAGATTGCCCTCCTGTATTTTATACTAGTGTTTCTCAACACTTGACCATTTTAACTTTCATCAAGGTTGAGAAACATTAGTCTATGCCAGGGATGTCAAACTTGTGACCCACAGGCCGGATGTGTCATGTGCTGACCACGCCCAGCCCTGGTTTAGCGATGGGGGGGGAAGTCACAATATGTCACATGACAACAACGCGACACCGTGAATTTGATACCCCTGTGTACACCGATTAGCCACACATTTCGATGATTTCAGTCAGTTGCAGGCATCTTTTTCCGCAGACAGCAAGGACTGAATCACAAATTCTCTGCATGCAAAACATGGACTTTCTACTGCAATTCTCTCATAGTTAATATCTAAAGTTTTATATGTACTTAGCAGAGAAAGCTAAATCCCATTGAAAGCAATGGGCCTTAAAAACCCGCTTGCCCTTTTTAAAAATGGAACTTCCTTATCGGTGTACTTTTCACTGAGCTATACATACAACAACTGAGCCTGCACAACTCTTTACAATCTGATTAATCTGCTTTTTCACCATATGATGCATATTACATGTAACCTTATCCAAATACCGTTTGCATTTATCCAACTAACTGCTTACTTGAAGGTCTTTCATGTGCCTCCCTGTACCCTCACCTCAATTTGATACATATGGATAAGTAACATTGGATTTCTGTATGAAATAAAACCCATGCAAACTGGGGGTTGGGGGGGAGGGGCACTGGAAAATTCATAGAACTAAAACAATTGACTCACAGCCAGACACAGGTTGATGTAAGATCAGTTTTGTTTCTTCCATTCATTTGTGTCCAATTCTCAGAGACTGCCTGGACAAGTCTGTGCAGTTTTTTGGCAAGGTTTTTCAGAAGTGTTTGTGACTTGCCCAAGATCACCCAACTGGCTTTGAGCCCAAGCAATGACTAGGACTCATGGTCTCCTGATTACTAGCCAGTGTTTTAAGCATTACACCAAACTTGCTCTCAAAGTCAATTACATTAAGTTCCAATTATGAACGTCTCTGTCCTTGGGTACTTGTTACTGATAGAACCTGGTCACTTCAGGGAAGAACAGTACCATCTAATGGTTGCTTTCAGGGGTCTTGGGATTGCTGTTAACTCTGACAGCTTAACCTGGGGTGGAAGGGTTCAGGTTGAAGAATATTAATGTACTGTGCTTCAGGTGGAGAAACTGCTATCAGCCTTAAGACTAGAACTGAGCAGGCTACAAACCTAACAATCATACAGAACAGATGCATTTCCACTTGCAAGCTTTGTTTAAAGCAGTGATCCCCAACCTTTCTTATGCCGCGGCCCGGTATCCCCAACCTTTTTTATGGCGCGGCCCGGTACCGGCATTAGCTGGGCACCGCCATCTTTGTTTGATGAAAAAGTGCTTCCGGTGACCTCACCAGAAGCACTTTTTCATCAAAAAAAGATGGCGGCGCCAGCGCTTCCGGTGAGCTTTTCCGGGTAGAAAGCCATTTCTACCCAGAAAAGCTCACCGGAAGCGCTGGCGCCGCCATCTTTTTTTGATGAAAAAGTGCTTCCGGTGAGCTTTCTACCCGGAAAAGCTCACCGGAAGCACTTTTTCATCAAAAAAAGATGGCGGCGCCCAGCAAACCAGCGGCCCGGTAGGACTTGTTCCACGGACCGGGACCGGTCCGCAGACCAGTGGTTGGGGACCCCTGGTTTAAAGCACATAATGCTGTTATCATAGTGAAGAGTCCTAAAGTTAATATGCAGAAGTATAGTAATCCCTCGCCAAACTGTATATTTCAATGAATCCATAAGGAGACCAATGCAGTTACAACCTGTACATCGAATAATATTAAACATTGAGTTCTTTCTGTAAATTAGAATGGGTGTTTATTATTACTGTACAATTCTTTACAGATTCAAAAAAAAAAAATAGCCCAAAAAAACTATAAGCATGGCAGGTGCACACCTTCAGTCTGTGACATCTCATTTCCATAGCCAGCTAAGAGTCTGTCTGTTCTGGCTTGGTGAATGTTTTCACCACTCTTCCTTGCAGAAGTCATCTAGCTGAAAAATATTTTTAGGTCTCTTTATATGTGCTGCTTGCCTGAAACTTTCCCTCGAATATTCAATAATGTTCAAATCTGGAAACTGTTGAAAGCCACCCCAAAACTTCATTTTTCCCTTTTTGTATATACTGCATGGTTTATTTGCAAGTATG